AAAAATAATGTACTAATAAGTTTTGTGCATAGCTAAAATATATGTTGATTTACAAAGCCAATACCAAATGCAAAACAAAGTTGTGTTGAATTTTACGCAATAGCAAAAGATAGGGCTTCATTTGCAAATTGGATATCAAATGCGATGAAAAATGAAAAAAGGTACTCCGACAATATTTTGATGCATAGCTAAAACAAGGGTTGTATTGGACTACCAATATCAAATGTGGGATTTAAAAAAAACTCTGATTGGTTTTTGCGGCATATCTACAATATGAGTTGTTTTTGCAAAGGTAACATCAAATACAAAGGGAAAACTCTGAGTAATCTTTAGGATGTAATTAGGTAGGCACTTTTTTGCTAAGATGGTATCAAATGTTCATGCAAAAGAAAACATTCCCTGGGTTTTGCGGCAATAGCTAAATCATACCACAAAACTTAGGAAGCAAAAATGTGGATACAGAGAAAAGCCTTTCTGGGAAACATGCCATCCCCTTCTTTCCAAAGTGAATATCAAATATGTTGCAAAGCTAATATGAAATGCAAAACAAAGCAGCATCGAGTTTTAGTTAGTAGATAAAATATGCCTTCCATGGATACCACATATGACAGTTCTGACGGTTTTTTACCGCATAGCTAAAATGTGCGTCGCTTTACATAATCAACATCAAATGCGTAAAAAGCTTTGACGGTTGGGTTTTGGCATGCATACAATATGTGTTGTGTTGCAAAGCGAACATCAAATGCGAAGAAAAAACCCTGACTAATCTTTAGACAATTGTTAAAGCATGCATTGTTTTACGAAGATGATATCAAATGTCGATGTCGAGAAAAAAAATGCTCCCGAGTCCTATGGCATTAACTAAAGCATTCCTCGTACTAAGTTATATTACAAAGACAATACTAAATATGCCTTAAAATTACATTTGCATTCAATCTTAACTATAGTATCATGTTACATGCCTATAAATATATAGGTTTAAGTCAGAAGAGGACAAGCCATTAAAATAACCGCAAAGGCACACAAACTCCATAGGTTTAAGTGAGGAGAGAGACCGGTTGCAGGGGATCCTGGATGCCTTGAGTTGCCTGAGCGGTGGGTTTGCCTTCGCTCTTCACAGCAGCAGTTAACAAAAATCCTGGAAAAGCCCCCAAAAAAGAAAGGCTCAAAGGCAGTTCACAAAAAACGCTGAAAACGCAACAAAATCCGAAACACGTTGTTTTCTACCGGCACTTGTCTTCTTCCCTTCCAGTGGAGCGAAAATGGTGATGCTGCCACCCCAGCACCAGTCATTATCCGTCGCCTCCACTTGATTGATCCCTCTCGCCACTCCCTCCCCTCCATCAACAATTTCGTTTCTCCGGTGATTTTTTTTTCTCTTGCTTGCTCGGTTTCTTGTGGGGCGGGCGGGCGGGCCACGAACCGGCGAGGCGGGGGCGCGGGGCAACGCAAAGCAGCAAAAGCTTCGATCTTTATCGGCCGGATTCCTCTCCCCCTTTTCTCTCTCTTCTTCCTCTTCCCGCTTGCTTTGTGCTTCGTTGGTGAGAGGAGAGGAGACCCACATCCACTTGCCTTTCTTCTCTCTCCTCTCGCATCCCCCTTCCAACTCCTCCTGGTCCCTGGAAAAGGGAGATCTTTTGGTGCAAGATTCGATCTGCTGCTGCCGCCTCGGCCTTGCTGCGTGCGCAGAGATTTGCTCCTTTCTTGGCCGGTTTAGCTCGGTGGTGGTTTCTCGGCTGGCGGCTGGCGCGCGCGGGCAGTTGGAGCTCTTGATTCATCAGGCTCAGATTGCAGCGGCGAGCGACTGTCTGCTCTGAGCAGGTCGACGCTGCTGCTCGCCGGGTGATTCCGTGGCCGCTCTTGGTGGCGGGCGGGCGGTGTCCTCGTCTGATCCGTTTCTTCGGGAGGCTTTGGTTGATGTGTTGGGTTTCCTCGGAGCTCAGTTCCCCAATTCGCCATATTGATGAGGAGCTCTTCCCACTGTGAGAGCTACTGCGCTCCTCCCCTGTGCTACCTCCCCTGCCTCCCCAAATCCAAAGATGATGCCGGCGGTGACCCGAAGTCCGCGTCCCCGAGCCCCGCCGCTGTCGCCGAGGACAAGCCACCGGTGGTCCAGAAGATCGAGGAATCTGCTCCTGCGGCGGCGGCGGCGGCAACCGGCAGCGATGGCGGTGGTGATGACGACAAGTGCTATAGGGAGGTGGCGGTGGCTCCCAAGTGCTGCTTGAAGAGGGCTAATTGCGAGGACAGCAGCAAGATTGTAGCTAAAGGCAATGTGAAGTGGAGGGATTCGCTGGGGAAGGATCTCACACAGGTCAAAGAATTCGAGCCAAGGTATGCGCCGTGATCTTGCCATGTTTCCCCTTACTACTACTAGTACTATCTAGTTGAGATTGTGGGTGAATTCGGTAATATTGTAGAGTCGAATTTGGGGAATGCTTGACATGCCATGTGATGTGTGTTGTTCACCGTTTTGGTTAGGCGTCAATTCGGCCAGTGGACATGTGGCTTGCCCCTGATCTCTAGAGGAATGCTCTCGTTTTAGGTCTCCGCGACGCGCATTTGATTTTAAGTCATGGATGGTCACTTGCAGTTGTGCTGACATTAGTAAAACACTAGTACCTAATCGCGAAGTCAACGGTTTGTCATGAGCCTCATGTCCCTTGGTAATGGTGTCCATCTTTTTGTTGTTCCTAGGTGGTGGGTTAATTAGATAAGGCTGGGCCAAGTCATTGTGTAGTGATTCTACTATATTTGGCCTTGGTTGGAGTGTTCAAGCATGGCTGTGGATGCATTCAGCTTGCTTCCATATGGTCACCATCTGATCATTAATCAGAATGAGTTGGTTGTTGCGAAGCCAATTTCTTGTGCCTGGGTGAAGCTATATAGACCAAACCATCCATACCTTTTCTGGTTGGATGGCCGCCCAAGTGTCCTACCTGGACCCACTTTTTATTTAGTGCTTCCCTGACAGTTTTCTTCAACGCATCAAGGAAGCGTGATCAAACGGTCTAGTTTCAACGCTATCTGGGTTTAGGTCAGTCCACCTGAGAAAGCTGAGGCCTTTTCACTTAAATTATTAAAGGTAGATCTGGCAGTTACCTTGAACTAGTGTTGTGCTGTTTATGCAATGTAAACTGAAAGATTTCTTTCAGAACTTGCACATCAAATCGGATTGGCAGTTCATGTTTGTATTTTAAGCCATGTTCCACTTTTGTTTTCTATCTATTGTTTCCATGTTAACATTGGAAGGGGTCAGGGAGATTTCATTGAGGTTTTCGTCAATAGATCTTCCACAACCCAGGTAGCTGGTTCATTATGGCACTGTAAAAATCCTTTTCAGAAACAAATAAAATACTTGCATATAGACCAATCAGTGTTTCAATTTCCAAGTCAGCGCATAGCTTTAAAGATATGAAATCACAATCAGGGCAATTGAGCTTTCATTTTCAATGGGTCTTTTTACTACAGGTTGCTTCCAGTTGCTATTTAGGACCATACCATGATTGGATAAGCTGAATTTTGATTAGGTTCATCACAGTCCCATCGCACATTTAAACCTAGTAATGGTGCATTGACACAGTATACTAACATCGTTATCATTCCTGCTGGTGATGAGAATATGCATTTGGATATAGCCGTGCGTCCTTGTGGTAGTTTCCATCCTTTTCACTTGCTTGTCCGATTCAAGTTTTTCCACGCTAGGGCCTAAGAAAATCTAGCTTTGATGCTTACACAATGCTTGACTGCTCTGCTGGACCTGGACCTCTTACTCTCAGAATTGAAGATATATATGGCATATGTGGCTTCGATGCTTACACAATCTTTTCTTCGATGCAGCGAATCTGGAGACTCGGACGACGAAGAATATACTGGCGCCTGCGCCTGCGTAATCCAATGAGCCCAGGGATCTCCACTGTAAATTCTGTGAAGGAAAAAAAAAACGGGGGGTTGTCTGAGTCAGTCAGCCACTCAGCCATTAGTCCTTGTCAGTAGAGGGTAGGGAGGAGCAGGTTCATTGTTGTGTGTGGTGGTAATTGGTACTCCTATGTGGATGCCATGGCTCGTGTTGTGTTCTGTCAGCAGCTTCAACTGTAAAATGTTGTTACAAATGCATAGCTTTAGGTAGTGTTTGATCTGGTGACTAAAATTTAGGAGGTGTGTCGGGAGGATATTGTATGGGTGCTCAGATACTAATAAAAAAACAAATTACATAATCCGTCAATACCCTACGAGACGAATTTTTAAACCTAATTAACCTGTCATCAGCACATATTTACTGTAGCACTACATTGTCAAATCATGGATTAATTAGGCTTAAAAGATTCGTCTCGCAAATTATACAATTAGTTTCGTAATTAGTCTATATTTAATACTTTATGTATGTGTTCAAATGTTTGATGGTATAATGACTAAAATTTAGGAGATGCAACCAAACACCGAAGAAGATTTCTGCCAAACGTTCTCCTGTCTGGAATCTTGTTCTAACTGTGTGCTGCGCCTTCAGGTGGGCACAATTGCTACTACCACTCTATGGGCTGGGCTGGACTGGACCTGATCCAACCCGATGACACCGGCCTTGCTGGGCTGGCCATTTTGGCCTAAATATATATTTTTTTCCCTTTCGGTTTAAGCCCTAGCGGGCCCGTGAAGCAGAGAGGAGAGACAACGCACCACTCGGGCTGATGAAAAGGAAAGAGTACTGTGTGCGTGGGCCCACTGATCAGAGAGGGAAACACAGCTCTGCTTCTGCCCAGCTCCCAGGTCCCACCAACCCAACAAATCAAGCGTGAGAGAGGGGGCGCGTAACGGGCGTGTGTGTGTGGGCCCCACCATGGCAGGGAGAGAAACATCGGGCATTCGTTGCGCTACGCCAAATCTCGCTTCCAACATCTCCGGCCCGTGCTCTGCAGTCTCCGCCCGCCGGCGTCCGACGTCCGCGTCCTCTCAAGGTCTCACCGGAGACCGCGCCGAGGCCCGCGGGGTTCGGGTAGCTCGGGATGGCCTCTGGGGGGTCGGCCGCACTCGACGCGTACGACGAGGAGGCCGCCGTCCGCCGGCCCCTCGAGCTCGACGCCCGTGACGCCGCCGCCTCGTCCTCCGACCACCACCGGCCCGGTGGTGAGCTCGAGGCGCTCTCTTCTATGGGTCCGTAGCCTTCTGGTTGCCTGGGATCTGGGGCGGGCTTGCGGTTTTGGGTTCCGGGGGCTGGGGGAATTTCAGCGTGTCGTTGGATTTCGTGTGGTGGAACAGGAGATCGAGCTGAATTGGGGAGAGGATATGGGGGATGGAGAGCCTGCTTGGCTGAGGTAACCTGCTCTGGGTTCTGGCTGCTACGGTTGTGCGTCTGGGATTGTCTGTTGGCGCAATGCAGTTGCTGTCTGTTGCTAAATTGGAGCTGGGTGAGGATGCATGGTTCATGCCTAATAATGAGTGCATAGAGAAGATATGCTGGGACGTGAGGGCCACTTCGTGGTTGAAATGCTGCACAGTGGAATCTAGTTAGCTAAGGAAAGCTTTTAGTAGGATGTTTCTGTTAGCCACATGTTTTTCGAAATTCAGGCCATAATCCATTGCTTAAATAGTTAGTAGTGTGTGTTTTGCTTAACCCAGTGTCACAACTGTCTCAAATGGTGTTAGTGTTATCTTATTGTAGGGAATGTCATGCCTAGGTATCAAGTGGGGACGAAGGGTGATACAAGTAGCCACTCTGAGGAGCAGAGGCAGCCTAGCACAGATGATGTGCGCAAGAACAAGCCCGGGTCGAGATACTTCACGGCGTTTGGGGTGGATCTGTCCCCTGATAATATGGCGGTTGCCATTGTATATTTTGTGCAAGGGGTTTTAGGTCTTGCACGGCTTGCTATGAGCTTTTACTTAAAAGATGATCTTCATCTAGATCCAGCTGAGGTATGTGTCGTTCATTCCTTTTCCTGTCCTACATGTACCATCTTTGTATTTAGATTTTCGAGCTCAGTTCTTGTTCCATGATGTAATGTTTCCACTGTTTAGTTAATAGGTGCTGTTAAGTGACTGAGATGGTTTCTTTTATATAGACTGCAGTGGTAACTGGTTTCTCGTCTTTGCCATGGTTGATCAAGCCCCTCTATGGCTTTATCAGGTCTCACAAAACCTCCCACATCTGTTTCTTTCTGATGTATGTGTATACTTGATTTTGAATCGTCTACTCTTGCCTTTCAGTGATTCCATTCCACTCTTTGGATATCGAAGAAGGTCGTACCTTTTTCTGTCAGGGTTACTTGGAGCACTTTCATGGAGTTTAATGGCCACAGTAGTGAGCAGTAAATACAGTGCAGCATCCTCTATTCTTCTTGGCTCACTTTCTGTTGCCTTCTCAGATGTTGTAAGTGCAAACTGAATATTCTACTCTCAAGTTGCATTTATTCAGTCGTTAGAAATCATTGAAGTGATGGTATGCTCCAGTTGTTTATGTTGGAGTATATTAGGCCCATGAGGCCCATGTATGACCCATATACATTGCTACCCCTCTAGGGTTGGCTGGCAGATGAATACACAGTTTTAGCAGTTTATTGATACTTTCTTGTTCTTCCTCAATGGCATATTTATGCTTGTAGATTTCTTAACCTGCTATGCCATTAAATATTCTCTGTGAACGTGAGTATTAGACTCTAATAGTGAGAAATTGGTTTCCTTCTATCCTGAGCTCTTTATTCTATTATGTATAGTCCAAGTGGATCTGTGATCATTGTTTATACAGTATTTTCCCCTTTGTCTGCATACTTTACTTTTCATAGAGAAAAGGGCATAGAGCAAATTTGTATTGAGTTATCTAACAACCAAATTTAACTGTAAAAATAAATACAGGCATAAGGAAAGCTCTAACAAATGTCTAGTATGAAAACAATTTAAAAATGCATACATGTGCGTGTTCAGGCACATTGAGAGCACCCTACAAAAGAGCAGATACCCCCTCAAACAAGCCCCGAATCTCCATTGTTGCATTGATTCCTGTAAATGTTTTTTGTAAAGAAAATTTCTTTGTTGTGCTTTCCAGCATGCTTCATTTAAAATCCCTACCCGTTAATACTGAATACACCAACTAGTCAACTGTTTATGAATCAGTTACTGGTGCATATTAACACGGTATTTCCTTTTCTTGATTCCAAATTTTCATACAGACATTTCTTAAAAACACGTTTTCATAAAAACATGTTCATACAATGCATCCTTCTAGCTATTGGACACAATCCAATCATATATTATGTAAAGTTTAGGCATGGGGGCATCTAAGTATACATTGTAAGGCTGACCATCTGAACTTATTTTTACAGTGCTATTCAAATTAATCATTTCATTAGGGGCCTGTCTAGCCATGAAACTGGATGCATCTGGTCAAGTGTGTCAGTGTGATTAAACATTGATCCAACTTTATGTCATGTGGGGCTACAGCCCCTCTAGGAGGAGATCCAGGGAACACCGTGCGAGAAGCAGGCAATGGAAGAGCATGCATGAGGACCAAGCAAGAGCGGGCGCATGTGCAGTTGCGGTCCAGGAAGCAGGCCACGCCTATTCATGGAAGCAACGCCCCCAGGAAGTGGATGAGCGGCTTCATGAGCCATGCAGTGGACAGGCTTGATCAACCGTGAAGGCATGCAGTGGACAGGACACCTTCAACTAATTTTAGGAGTGTGAACTCTTCTTTCCTTTAGCCGGCCGAGTGCCTCTATAAGCTATGTATGAGACACCTTTGAGAATCAAGCAATGAAGAACAATTAGTCTTAATCTCATCCCCTTCAACAACAGGGCACTGAAGGGTAAAACCTCGCCCCAACCCTACGGATCGAGGCTATGAACTGCATAGCCGAGGTCCAGCTACCCTAGAGCCCAACCTCCATGACACTTCATCTTTTTTCTACCAAAAAATATCATCATATCATTAATGTGCGGAGAGGTAGAGGAAGACCAAAGCTGACATGGGGGGAGGCAATAAAAAGAGATTTGAAAGGTTGGGATATACCTAGAGATCTTTGTTTGGATAGGAGTGCTTGCAAAGCAGCTATTGACATGCCTGAACCGTGACTAGGGGCTCATGTTGGGTTTCAACTCTAGCCTACCCCAACTTGCTTGGGACTAAAAGGCTTTGTTGTTGTTGTTGTTGTATTTCCACCTCATGCTGGGACTGTAGAACAAGAACTTTTGCATGTATATTGCTTCAAGGTTTGTCTCAGCACATGTGGGAACACTGTAGGTAGTGGATTCTATGGTTGTTGAGAGAGCCCGTGGAGAATCTCAAAGTACATCTGGATCACTCCAGTCGCTCTGTTGGGGATCTTCTGCCTTTGGAGGTATTGTGAGTGCTTACTTTAGCGGTTCGCTTGTGGATACTTATGGAGTAAGGTTTGTCCTATTGTACCACTACCACTTGAGCTGACACATGCCCCATTGTTTTATAGTTCAGTCTACTGATGAAAGTATTCCTGTAAACGCAGATTTGTCTTTGGTGTTACAGCGTTTTTACCCCTGATGACATCTGCTGTTGCAGTTCTTGTAAATGAACATCGATATCTTCTGGAGAACATAATACCTTACTCTCTGGTTCAGGATTCGTTGAGAGCTCTAAGCAGCACGTCAGGCAGCTTTGGACTTCAGTAAAGCAGCCTAACATTTTGTTGCCGACCTTGTTTATATTTCTTTGGCAAGCAACACCGCAGTCAGATTCTGCTATGTTTTTCTTCATGTATGTCTGAAAAATCTTTACAGTACTGATCTGTGATGGGTCTTATCCTGTATTCTTGTTCATGGCCTATTTGCTTACTTTTTTGACTGTTGCATTGGAATTAGTTGTAATCCAATAACTATAACTTTCACAGACTAGAAGAAGGTCTTAGCTTATTCTGATTGTTGGGCGCTCCTCTAGCTTGTCTTTATTTGGAGTGGCTACACTACCTTAAGCTGTAAAATTGTACACAAAATCAAGAAAAGTTATCTTGCTTCACAAAGTACAACAACAACAAAGCCTTTATACAAAGTACAAAGCAAAGTAATTATTTTGGTTAACTTTGCATCCTAATTTTATACACGCCAACAAAATGTTGTTTTTCATTATGTTTGGTCCCTTTTTCACTAGTTGTGTATTAGCAGTTTGAAGATATCTAAAAATATGATCTCAAACTTTTTTTTTGGCTGAACATGATCAATATGATCTCAAACTTTTTTTTGGCTGAACATGATCTCAAGTCTGTTATGCTTATTTTGATATTAAATAATTAAACAAGTATGTCAGCTGATTAATGCTTGTAGTTACTGTCCTAATAGGAGCATGCAGGTGGCTTGGCCCGGTTAGAACATGTCAACTTTTTTTTTCCAGATTTGTCCCTTGTTGTTTTTTTCTTTCTTTTTTTTTTGGGGTGGGGGGGGTGTGGAGCTGGGAGTCCTTTGTACCCTATATAAACACTTTAGCCACATATTGAGGATGGACTATTGTTTCATTTCTGCTTGTCGCTCTTTGGATCCTCCTGTTCTGTGCACCTGTGTTACCTGTTTGGGTTTTCCATGCTAAACCTGTCTCTTGTCTGATTGGTTATGTTCTTTATCCACTGTTCATTTATAATGAATAAAAATGATTAACTGATTTTTATCTGTAAGAATTTTAAAATGATCATTTTTTTATGTTCAATAATATATTTCAGCACAAATAAGCTTGGATTCACTCCAGAGTTTCTAGGGCGCGTGAAGCTTGTAACCTCTTTTGCATCCCTGCTCGGTGTTGGGCTCTACAACTATTTTCTGAAGGAAGTTCCTCTAAGGAAAATCTTTCTCGTGACAACCATTATAGGTTCAGCTCTTGGGATGACACAGGTGCTCTTTATATTATTTTCTTGATTGGTGCTGCAATTCTTTTCTATCCTTTAAACATACTGCATTTTATATATTTAGGTGCTTCTTGTAACTGGGCTAAATCGGCAGTTTGGGATTAGCGATGAGTGGTTTTCTATTGGTGATTCATTAATCATCACAGTCCTGGGTCAGGTCAGTAACATTACTGCAATGCTTAATAATAGCAGAGTGCATTTTACATGATTGAATAAAAATGTATTCAGCTGATCATGTACCCTTTTCCTGACATAGTGACCCTGTAACATAGTACTTTTATATGCCCATAATTGTGACCACTGGCAATTCAGGATCAGCTGATCTTAGTTGTGAAATGGCGTACCTGTTCTTAGAAAGATGTTGACTTATTTTGAGAGAAGTCTCAACGTCCCATATGTACAATCAGAGCATCATTTTATATATTAATATGAGTTAAATAATATCTAGCTTTGACACCTCCTGCCTTCAAGTGCTTCCTTGAATGCAAGCTTATGTTACCTAAACTTTTTTGTAGGCTTCATTTATGCCAGTCTTGGTGTTAGCTGCAAAATTGTGCCCTCCAGGAATGGAAGCCACTTTATTTGCAACTTTGATGTCCATTTCTAATGCTGGAAGTGTTACGGGTGGTCTGGTTGGTGCTGGTCTAACTCGGATATTTGGGGTCACTAGGGACACCTTTGGGAATCTACCTCTATTGATTGTCGTCTGCAATCTTAGTTCACTGCTGCCCTTACCTCTTTTGGGTCTCCTGCCAGAGGAATCAGGTGACACGGATAATGGAGAAACAAAGAATAACTGACTTACTGAGGGTTTTATCTCTGTTTGTTCTGGTTCTCAAGTATAGCATACCAGTATACCACAGTGCCCAGCTTCAACTCAGATACGGCCCATCCAGTTGTAGTTCAAAAGATCAGTAGGGAAATATGGAAATCATGCTGGATATAAGTTCAGTTAGTCACCACCGTCATCAGCCAGTATCTCCTGCCACTGTTAACCTGTGATCGAAGTGATTCATTGGTGATCTGAAAATGATCTATGATGCTATGGCGCACAGGTACTCACCACGTTTTAGTTTCTATAAGCTACCTTGTATACGCAGACAAGGTAGGTTTTATCTTTCTCTACACTCTTTGAGTTTTTGTTAGCTAATGCGACCCCATGAAAATTAGAGTAGGGGTCAAAGACTAGTAGTTGAGGATTCCCTTACAAAGTCGAATGTATTGTAACAAAAAAAAGGAGGGAGTATTTATACGTTATGGAAACCTAGAGTACGGACATGTAAAGCAAAATACTTGCACGCAGTTTGACTTGCCATACAGTATCAGGTTCTGCTTACATCACTAGGCCCAAACAAAGTGCAATCACAGAGGACATACAGGAAACTATAGGGCAACAGAAATGCAACATGCATCATCCGTAATAACTCACTGAATTTTGCAGTGCCAAGTACTGGTATCAATGATAAATTGATAATAGACGGTATGTGTATAACCATTGATCTATCCTTTGATGTCTGTTTGGACTTTGGAGGTTAACTTGAAATATGATTTCAATTTATTGGCAAGTTGAATAAGAGTTCAGTAACAAGTGATCATTTGAATCAGTGGTGTGTAAAAAAGTGAAAGACAGACTGTAAAAAAAAACATCCAGGAACCTGTGTGTTTCTCTTTTGACTTGAGAGGGTGTGCTCAGTGCTCCTAGAGTTGATATTTATCCAGGACTACGATCAGTTAAATCATATCATGAGGACGAATCATTGTATTTATTTCTCTTAAAACCATGCAACTGTGGTTGTCTAGTTCATTATTGAATTTTATGATATGATGAACGCGTCCAATTTTCAGAATCAGGTAGAAATACATGGTATATTCGAACAGCTTCTTGCATGGTAATGGAGAGCAGCATAAATGATCATATACTCTGAATATTCTGCCTGTGTTGCTCTTGGGAGTCTTTGAGACGTCAGAAACTCAGAATGTAGAACAATGCCACTTGGTTACAGTAGACATCATCTCCACGAGCAATGCATTCAGGTTTCAGTCAACATCATCTCCACATCATGTTCTTGCACCAGTGCATCCCATCACATCTTTATTTTTATATCACAATCGGGCCCATGTAGGCATATGCATCGTGTCAGCATTTCCATAGTTTAAGTGCTCGTCTAATCAGCATTTTTTGGATTATTATGCCACATGAAGGATTCTGACTGGCTTCTATTTCCATTGCAATTATGGGTCAACTCTCAACTGCAATGTTTTCTTTTTTTCTGATAAAACGGCTGGAGATTTTGTTTCCCGATCCGATTTCTGATCTCGGATCCAGCCTTTCCTGCCATATCCCCTTTTTTTTTCTTCTTGCGAAAACATTTTTTTTCTTGGTCCCTCCCATTCACAGTCATCTTAGGATACATCAAGTCTAAACCCTAATCATGAACAACCATGAATTGAGTACAAATTGTAAGGGCGCGTTTAGTTGCTGCCGGAGTTGGCGCCGCCGGATGGACTGTAGCACTGCAGCGCACTGTAGCATTTTGTTTGTATTTGGTAATAATTATCCAATTGTTGACTAATTAGGCTCAAAACGTTCGTCTCGCAAAGTACAACCAAACTGTGCAATTAGTTTTTAATTTCGTCAACATTTAGTACTCCATGCATGTACCGCAAGTTTGATGTGACGGGGAATCTTCTTTTTGCATAGTGCCAAAGTTGGGAATTTTGGTGAACTAAGGCCGCGTTTAGTTGCCGCCTGAATCGGCGCCGCCTGAAATTCAACACACTGTAGCGCACTGTAGCGTTTTGTTTTTATTTAGTAATAATTGTCCAATCATTGACTAATTAGGCTCAAAACGTTCGTCTCGTAAAGTACAACCAAACTGTGCAATTAGTTTTTGATTTCGTCAACATTTAGCACTCCATACATGTAGCGTAAGTTTGATGTGACGGGGAATTTTCTTTTTGCATAGTGCCAAATTCTTGATTTTTGATGAACTAAACATGGCCTAAACAAGGGCTAACTGTAACAAATGGTACTTGTCTCATTGTCTGTATGATGGGATGGAGGCTGTCATGCAAGTCCTGATGGTGACAAGTGGCGAATCAAACCTGTTCTATTTTACTGTTATTAAGCATTTTTATTTTGTTTTGTTTTATTTATTGGAAAAACTCAGGATATGGTTATTTATCTGTTCTGTGCGAAAGCATTTTTTTAAGCCATGTGCCAACAAGTTTGGATCTGTAGTGATCACCTGCAACTAAAACTAGCTAGTAATAACTTGCAAGAAACTGCAATTTGTGTTTCAGGTTGCTTGCGTTTGATCCGGCCAGAGTTTTACAAATGGGCTCACACGATTTCGTCATGAATGTTACTTGATTTTCACAAGAAATGAGTCAAGGCCCGTGATAAGAAATATGAGTCATCTGTATGCTGAATGTATCATCCGCTCACAAATACAAATTTATCTATGCCTGTACAAGTCGGTTTTTTTTTTCTAATTTAAGGCTTTACATTAGAGAGCGTGTCAAGTCAGACCAGAGAGAGAGAGAGGGGAAGGCCTTGTTTAGTTCCTCCTCCAAAGTTTACTCCATATCTATTGAATGTTTGGACACATATATAGAGTATTAAATATAGATTAAAAAATAATTGATTGTACAGTTTGTGACTAATTTGTGAGACAAATCTTTTAAGCATAATTAGCCCATGATTTGACAATGTGGTGCTACAGTAACACATGTGTTAATGACATGTTAATTAGGCTTAATAAATTCGTCTCGCGGATTATTGACGGATTATGTAATTTTTTTATTAGTATCCGAACACTTTATACGACACCTCATGTGACATCCGATTTGACATCCCAAAACTTTACATCCTGGATTTAAACAAGCCCAACTCGTGGTCGTGGATGATTTTCCCAAAAGAAGAGTGGTAGCATTGGCGTGTCTGTCTCTAGCATTTGGGGCCATGTTGTGGTTGTGGTTGCCCGCCAGGCCGCCTCCACTCGGGGGTAGTCGTGTGACGTGTATGCGGCCTGTTCGCTTGATCGTATCAACCATGCTTATCAGCCATAATACAATGTTTTCTCCCACAACAAAACAGCATCAGCCGACTTATAAGCCACAAAGCCACAGAAATGATCAAGCGAATAGGTTGATGGCCGAGGGCAATGCAAATGGGGCACACATCACATCCTAACGTGTGCGCTTTTTTATCCTACGATCCCTATCCTCTCTCTACTTCCCTAGGCATACACCACTTCCCTTTGTTTCTTCTTTTGCTTTTTTTCTCTCACTGTCACTTTCTCTTTCACCTCATGCAATGGCCCTGTTCGCTTCTCTTATAATCCGTCTTTTTCAGCTTGTTTTTTCAGCCGGAACAGTGTTTTCTCTCACAACAAATCAGTCGGAACAGTGTTTCGGCTTATTTTTTCAACGAAACGAACAGTGTTTATATTTCTTTCTCACGTTTCGAACTCCAAGTTAACCCGACCACGATTCCATGAGATTTGAGGTCAACTAATAAGGTTGGCATATCATTTGTGCCGTCTATATATTAATATACATGCGCTATTTGCGCTTACATGGAAAAAATGTTTTATACAACTTTAATATTTCATTTATGGCTGCAAATAAGCCAAGCTTGAGTGAGCCCATCGCCTCAACGTTTAGCTTGTTTACGAAGGATCGAGGCGAGCTCGTTCTAAGCCTGACAACCACAGGAGCCTAGTTAGGCAAGCTCATCAGTGTCTGAGCCAAGCTTGAGTCGAGTCTAAATGCTACGTTTGATAGGAATTTAGATTCCGGTAGAAACGTTTCGATTTTTTAAAGTACTAGCGTATAGACGTCTAGACGGACGTTCGCGCCTGCTACACACATAGGTGGGGACCGTCCGCGCCGCTCCCCACATTTTCCTGCTTCCCGCGCCCCTCCCCTCCCCGCTGCTCCCCGCGTTTCCCTGCTTCTTGCGCGCCTCCACGCCTGTTCCGCCACTCCCCTGCTTCCTGCGCGCATGCATAACAGCCTTTGCCCCTGCTGCCATCCCCCTCCGCTTCCAGCGCCCATCGCCGCGCAGCGCTCCACCTCTCCGCTTCCCACACGCATGCATGGCGCCCCAGCAGTTACAGTAGGCGGATGTGGCAGGTGGATCACATTGCAACATGTGCAACACCAAATCTACTTTTGCAACATCTAGATGAAACACTTGCAATATACGTTTGAAACAGCTGAAACACTTGCAAAAACACCTAAAAACTCTTGAAAGCCATTACAAACATATGCAACATCCAGGTAAAAACCTGCAACATACGTGTAAAACATATGCAACATCCAGATAAAACACTTGCAACATGCGTCTAAAAATAGATGAAACATTTGGAACAGACACGACACTGATAACATACGTGTAGAACCATTGCAACATATGCAACATTCGGATCTACTTTTGCAATATCCATATGAAACACTTGTAACATACTTCTAAAGCATCTAAAACAACTGAAACATGCGCTTGCAACATGCGCTTTCAGCGCAACATCTCCTTGCTGCTTGAGAGAATGGAGGCTCATCGGCGTGTGGAGTTCACTGGAGGTAGCGTCCTGGCAGCGCTTGTAGGTGGCGGGCTGGCGACGACGACTGCGCGACGTTGTGGGGAGGCAGTAACCGCACGACTAGGCAGGCCGACAGACGAGCGCCGTGACTCGGAGGCAGCTGCACGCCATGCATGGTAGGGCCAGTGGGCGAGTGCTGCGCCTCGGAGGCGGCAGGCGAGCAGATAGGAACGGGTGGAGTAATTGATGAGCGA